CAGAATTGTCCTGGGCTTGGGCATCTGGATACACAGACAGCATGACCAGCACATCAGCAAATGCCTATGGAGTGTGCCTGTTGCTGTGCAGGTTGTGGTGAGTTTAAGCATACAGGAAAGCTGGCAAGGGAGAAGGTGCAATGCAGCCTTTCCCTCCGTGCCTTCTCTCTGTGTGTTCGTTGGAGTTCCTTTCTTCTTTCAGCTGAAGAAGCAGCTTAGGTTCATCACCTGCTTTTAGTGCCATGGAAACTTCACAGTATTGGGGTTGGGAAGGTGTTTCCCCCTGGCTGGGACATTTCTCATCACTTTCTATGAGCCTCAACTTTTACCACACAAGGCGTGTGATTAATGTGTTTGGCATATGCTGCCTGGGACCCAGGGAGTCCTTCCAGACCGGCTGCTCAGGGGAGCCCATTCCCCAAAGCTTTTCATCTGCAGGCTGCCTCCTGAAACAGCTCCCTAAAGAGGGGGGTTCAGCTGCACTGGCATTTACACGTGTAAACTTAACTGCCTTATCCTGAAATGGAAACTTGAAGCCACCCATGTATATATTCCTTTCCCTACAGTTTATTGGTTTTTTTTAAAAAATAAAATCTGAAGCCATTAAATGCTAGCTGATGAATTGTCCTGGGACAGGGGTAGTCTGTCCTTTGACTTCCTTGGTCTGATGGCAGTTGGAGCAAGGCAGGGGGAGTGGATATACAGCACTCCTGTCAAGTGACCAAAAGGAGCAGCTCAATTTTAATCATACTTTCTATACAGACATGAAATCTTTGATGGGGAACAGCCTAGATATTTTAAAAGGAAGTCACAAATTAGCTAATGACTTACAGCAATATCAGTGATTTTTGTACCAAAGTCATGAAACCGTGGCAACTACAATAGAAAGGCTTGCTATGCTGTATATGTCATCAGGTTCACAATATATGGGAGCCACACCTGGATGTTGTTCAGATTCTGAGCTATGCTGTTGCTGTGGTGATGAGGTGACTATAAGAGCCTGATTGGAGCTGTATGCAGAGTTAACAATGATGCCTATGAAAATCTGTAACCATGTGGACATTGTTGATTTCTAATTAAACAGCTATTTTTGTTAAATAAAAACACTCTGAGATATCCTGTGTGGACAGGTTTTTTTTTTCTATTTTGATACCCTGCTAATCCACAGCACTGCTGCTGCAGGTTGTTCTGAGCATCTTTGTAACAAAGAGAAAAACAATTTAGGGCAAAACGTCTTGTATTGGGGATTCTTAAGTGCTGAGAAGTCCAGAAGCACCACTCTAATTCCAGTGCAGACTGGTCTGGTGAGGGAGATCATCACTCACCGATGCAGGGTGGCCCTGGTCAGGATGTTCTGGTCTAACTGGGGATGATAGTAAGGGAAAGCAGGTGTAGGTTTGCCATGCAGGAGGATCTTTCTGCTTTTATTGATCTAATTATAAAATTGAGGCCTTAAAGGAGAAATGCTGTAAGCCCCTCATCCTGGCACACCCTGCCTTGGAAGATTCTCCTGTGCTGTGTTTCTAGAAGACATGACTTATACCTCATAGTACAGGCTAGACTGGAGGGCACAGTGGTTTGTGTGGGTAGTAGCCCAACAAGCCCTCTGCACAACACCAAAAACAAGAGAAAAAGGGATGTTCTGGGGAGGAAAGGGGGAGGGGAGGCTTTCTTCAGAGCTAGGACTGTTAGCATGTCAGGTCTGTTCTGAATTTCGTTCATCTGCCTTCTCTGGGTGAATACAGGAGTCAGCTGTGGAGGGATAAGTTTCTTGACAGTGTAGGGGATTAAAATCTCTGCTTGCATATGTCAGGAATTTAAGTAGTAGGTCATACAGGTATAGCATTACGCTTAAGGTAGGCTCAAGTGTTTCTCATCTGGTGCTGGTGAAAGGCTGCGCTCTCCTGCAAGTGGAGCAAGTCCCCGTGAACGGTGGCAATCCTTGCTCCTCCCATCGCATCCTGCCACATCGTGTACAGCTGAGAGAGCTGAAAGGGGCACACATCTGCTGTGAAGGAGCGGAATTTCTGTGCTGGAGGTCGAGCATGCAATGCGGTTTGGTGGGGATGAGATGAACACTATAGCAGCTGTCTGCCTGGGATGCTGTGGGTTTCTTTGTTCCAGTTGATGCTGGGGGCTGCTGGAGGTGAGTGTTACAACTGAATCTCTGTCCTGCACTGGGCTTGCTACGATGCTGGTAGGATGAGGTGCAGTTCTGGAGATCACTGCTATAGTGAGAGACTGGGTGCTGGGCTTCTTCTGTCCAAAGAGCAAGGAATAGACAACTGCCTGAGGCTGCTGTTTCAGGACCAGCACCCACTGCTATCCCCCTGGGCTAGCAGTGGCTGTGAGAGCCTGCCAGGGCAAGGCAGGGTTACACTCGACTCCTGCTGTGGCTGGGTGCATGTGTGACACAGCCGGCTGCTCTGCCAGTGCTCTCAGGGAAAAGGAAGCACTCTGTGTGGAAGTGACTGTGCTTTTGTCTCCGTCGGTGTGATTGTAGCCAAGTACTGGGAAGGAAAGAGCGGCTTTGGCTATGGAAAGGGCAGGAGACTGGATGCTCTGAACCCTGCTCCTAAGTGGAGCAGTGACAGTGACAACTGTTTCCTTCATCACATAAAAAAGCTGTTAAGGTGCTTATTTAACATTGCTCTGGAGGTGTTACACAGCCTTTCTCTGTGAAACATACTCATTCTACATGAATCTGTTCTCTGAACACAGTGTCTGATGCATTAGTGACATGGAAAACAGCAGCCAGCATGTCGGGGTCTGTCCTTGGAGTCCTGCACTGCTTTACTGTTGTTTTCGTTGCATTTTCCATGACCATGCTCTGCAGCTTCCTCACACATGGAAACATCTGAAAACCTACATTTATGATGTGGGCTAATGAATGCATTGATGAATTTCGATTGACCTTAAATCATTAAGTTATTATTATCAAACATCACAGCTTGACATTCCCAACAATGGGGTCTAATCCTTGCCTTAATCACGCTGATTAGTGACATAAAGCATATCTTGTAAATTAAAAGGATAGCACTGGCTTTTAAGATGAAGGATAGTCTTTCAATAAAAGCAGAGCAGAAACCCTTTGTACTGTACCCGGTTCTCCATATTTAGTCTATGAACTTGTCAAAATGAAATGTGGAAGATCAGAAATTCAGCATATTGCCTTCAAGAGTAGGATAGCTACATGCTCTGGGTGAGGTCACTGGTTGAAGTTGACCAGGTACAGCAGGAACCATTGCCAAACAGATAACTGAGCATCATCTCTGGTAAGTGTAAGGGAGCCCTTCCAGCCCACTAGAGCCAGTGTCAAAACCTGGTTTTCTTTTTCACTGTATGGTGTAGGATGAACAGAAACCCTGAGATCATGGAGTCCAACGTCATCCTATAGCATGTGGCTATAGACATCCTATAAATGTCTTCAGAGAACTCGTGAACCCCACTTTGAAGAGGTTCTGCTTTTCTGTCCTGTGTGACTTTGAGTGAAAGGGTGACCCTGCTTGAGTTACTGTCAGAGTTATCAAACTGGCTTTGTGGCTGTTTTCTGCCTGTATTTTCTTTCATTAACATTAACCCTTTAGTACAGGGGAGGTGCTGCCCTCTGAGGTGTGTGGCCTTGTGGACAGTTATCCTTAGCTTTGCCAGGCCAGCATATTGAGAACTCAATACACGGCCACGGCCGTGTGAGGGTCAGTGTGATGGGCATCATGTAAGTGCTGCAGTGAGGAGAACTCTTTTCCTCGCTCTCTCCCCTTCCCCCCCAGAGGGGTCCCTACGACTACAGCCCAGGCTGGTAGGAGGGCTGAGGAGGGTCATCCCCCAGAATGTGGTGCTGGGAAGCATCTTGTGATGCTGAGTGAACTTTATCACCCTGAATGGCTGCTGACAGCTGCTCGCCCTTGCAGTGAGCTCTGTGGGGAGTCTAGTGGTCACACAGCGCTTTGGGGACCTGCTGGCCTCCAGGGCACAGCATCCACTCCCTGTGGGGTGTTTGGTCCTCCCTAGAGGAGACTGCAACTTGCCACCTCCCTCCAGCTCCACTGAGGAGGCTCATCCTTCTCCCTCTGCCAGGCCCCTGGCCCTGCAGGTAAATCAGGATGGGGTGTTTTGGTCTTTTTAATTGTTTCCCAGATGGGAATTAATTCAGGGTATTTTCCTGTTACTTGTTGTTGTTTTGGTTTGGTTTTTGGGTTTTTTTGTTGGTTATGTTTGTTTGTTCTTTGTTTTTTCCCATTTCCAAGTTCAAGGAGCAGTGTGTGGTTAACACAGAGAGGTGTGTCTCTGGATATTCGGTGCTGTCTTCATTAGTGGTGAGACACTAGAACAGGTTGTCCAGCAAAACTGTGGATATCCCATCCCTGGAGGTGTTCAAGGCCAGGTTGGATGGGGCTCTGAGCAGCCTGGTCTTGTGGAAGGTGTCCCTGCCCATGGCAAGGGGCTTGGAGCTTCAAGATCCCGTTCTAACACAAGCAATTCTATGGTTCTGTGATTAACAAAAGCCCAAATCCTGACACTGCTGGCTCTTGGGCTGATCCGATTGCTCATTGCCAGCCGGAGCAAGATGAATAATACAACACGCAAACCGAGGCTGCTCCCTGAGGAGTGCATAATTTAACAGCATCAAAGAAGGGCTTTCGGCTGCACAGGGAGAGCCGCCTGCCGCACTCCTGCCCCTCTCCTAGTGGGGTGTGTGTGCCCCCGCTGCCCTCAGCCCTCTGCTTCCGACAATTCCCAGGCCTTATGTGGAATTGTGGCGCACGGAGAGGGGCCCTGGCGCGGAGGCCCGTCTCCATGGCAACGGGGCGGTGCGGCCCAGCCGGCTCGCGGCCGCCAGAGCCCCGCGGGTGGCGGCGTTTGTCCCTCGGGAGCCGCCGTGGCGCTAACCGGCGCCGCGGGACCGTGCGGGGGGCGGCCCCGCCGCTGTCACGGCAACCGCAACGCTCCGGCAGAGGCGGCGGCGCCTCCTCGTTCCCGGTATCGCGCGGCAGGGTCCGGCGTGTCGCAGGGGAGCAGGGAATGCTGGTGAGGACATTCCCCACCTCCCCGCGTGGGGTTCGGGTTCCTGGGTGTGTGTATGTTTTAGTGCAGAAGGACAAAGCGATAGAAATCCGTCGTTCTGTCCCGCCTTTTGTTGTGTCTGTAGAGTGTAACCGCGTAGAGGTGTTAATAAGATGTGCAGAACAAATGGTCACAGCGCGCACCCCCCACAGACACATCCCAAGTAAAACAGAATCAGATGAAAATGAAGGTTTGAGATCTTCTGAATACTTTCCTTCTCTCTTAATGCTGTATCACTTCATAATAGCCAAAATAGAATAGGAGATTCAGGATCTTCTGGTGCCCCCAATATAAGAAGGACATGGAACTGTTTGAGCCAGTCCAGAGGAGGCCACGAGGTTGGCAGGAGAACGGGAGCAGGTCCCCTCTGGAGACAGGCTGGGAAGGTTGGGGCTGCTCCGTCTGGAGAAGAGGAGGTTGTGTGGAAACCTCATTGCAACCTTCCAGTATCTGAAAGGACCCATAGGGAAACCAGAGAGGGACTCCTTGTCAGGAACTGTAGTGACAGGACAAGGGGAAATGGGTACAGACTGAAAGAGGGGAAGTTAGGTTACAGATTAGGAAGAAATTCTTCACAGTGAGGGTGTCGAAACACTGGAACAGATTGCCCAGGAGATTGTGGATGCCCCATTCCTGGAAAGTGTTCAAGGCCAGGCTGGATGGGGCTTTGAGCAACCTGATTTAGTGGGAGATGTTTCTGCCCAGGGCAGGGAGAGTTGGGACCAGATGGTCTTAAGGTCCATTCCAACTCCTTAACATTCTGTTATTCTATGAAACAAGTAATTGAATTGGAAATTCTCTCTTCAGCCATGGCTACTTCATCTTAAAACAGAGGAAGTTGATTTTTATGGTGCTCCCCATTAATACACTTAACCTAAATCAATCAAACAATGTGTTTGTGTTTGTATTGAGTGACACAGACTGATGTGAACATGTTTTTTTAAAGGCACAATTCAACTGTGTAGCTTTTGTATCTGCTTATCATAATAATGAAATCACAGAGAAATACTTCTTTTGTGCTGAATATGCACTAAAACAAAGTAATCTCCATTAAGATCCCAGGTACATCATCACCCAAACCAAGGATATTTGTGAATGAAGGGGCATTTCCTCACAAAAATCATTACGTGTCATATAAGGTGGTGCAGGAAAAATATGATTGGAAGTGGTGTGAAAAACTAAGGCAATAGTCTGAACGAGCTCTAGAAATTAGAATTCTGAGAAATCTAGTGTGAATGAGTGATTCCAGTGGCAAATGGTAGCTAAAAAGAAGTGAAAAATGTGCCAGATTTTCTTGAACAACATATGGATCAAAGAAAACAGCTTTTAAAAGTTTCTGTGCAAACAATAAAAAATGCCCAGCTTTATTACCACTCTAAAACAAATCTTTAGTCAAATCTTGACTAAGTTTTGAGGCTTAAAAGAACAACACTCTTTTTCTGGCATGAAATACTGAATTCTAAGAAGCAGAGCTGGTGTTCCTGAGAATAAATAACTGAGAACTCAGAGATGCCCATCAGAACTCAAAACAAAAGCTTGGAAGAATTTAAGCAGCATCTGCTGGATGAAAGGGTTTTTACAAAATGCATAGATGGCTTTGACAGTCTTAGTGCAACCCTTGTTGATTCTCTGATTCTGTGATTCTTGTCTGGAAGGACAGGATGGTCACACAGCAAGAGCTGTCTTGCTGTTCTAGGGCCATCCAGAGTCAGAGCGCTCTCTTATACCCCATATTGTCTTGCCATATCATATGGAATGTTAAGGGGTTGGAATGGACCTTAAAGAGCATCAAATTGTGATCTCCCTGCCATGGGCAGGGACACCTTCCACTAGACCATCAAAGCACCATCCAACCTGGCCTTGAAGACTTTCAGGAATGGGGCAGCTGCAGTCTTCCTGGGCAACCTGTTCCAGTGCCTTACCACTGAAACAGTGAAGAATTTAATCCTAATATCTAACCAAAATTTCCCGTCTTTCAATTTGTACCCATTACTTCTTTCCTGTCACAATAATCATGGTCTTTAGTCTATTGAAAATGACACAGATTAATCCGACTAGAGACACCTGGCACCTTCCAGCCTGCAGCAGGTGGTACAAGAACAGGAACTTTTGAATAATTGATGTTTTCTTCTTCTGTGCTGCTTTAGTAAAAAGTAATAAATTATTGAAGGAAGGATGAGGGGGCTGAAGCTATAAACAGAACAGAGTCAGCTCTCTAGCTTGTGAGTATGTCCAGATCTTTAAACTTTTGCATCTTTGATGCCTTGTACTGAGTGAGCTGAGCTGAGGGGCAGTAGGCAGTCAGCCTGGAGCACCAAGCACTAGCACAAGCTAGTGGCACCTGTTTGTTATGCAGTACAAAGATTTTTTTTAAAGATCCTTATAGTGGCTCATCTTCAGTTTTGTCATGAGCATGACTATATCCAGCCTGATTAACAGGTTAATGAGTGTTTAAAGTTACACTGCATTTAAACAATATAAGATTCAAATAAGGTAAGATACAAGCAAGAAGTTTGTAGCACTTCTGGCCAACATAACATAAAATAGTAGTCTCTTTGTCCAAGCACAAAGCTGACTGTTAAAATATTATGAGTTCTGGTTTAAACTCTGTCAGAGACCTTAAATCACCTTGATTTGTTTTAACTCAAACCTTCTCCCAGTAGCCAGAGCTGGAAAGGCCAAAACCATTCATGTTTATGAGCCATCAGTGATCCTTAGTCCTGAGGTGCTGTGGCACTATCTAACATGCTTATATTAATACTGCTCAGAAGTTTGATGTATGTGTCATAGGAGATATCAGTATTTGTGTGCCACTAAAGGTTGAAAACATTTTATTCCCTCTCCTTTTTGTAGTATTACTCTAACACATCACCAAAATGAGTGAAAAGGAAGATCCAGCAGATGTGGGTGACTCAACAGAAAATGCAGAATATGAGGATGATTTTGAAAAAGACACAGAATGCCTAACTGATGAAGAAGAAAAACAAAACCTTTGTGAAAAAAAGGTATTTGTTACATTAAATGCTAGTTGTGTTATTTAGAAGACAAGATTGAGTAATATTTGGAGTCATAGGCACAAACTCAGTATTGCTTGAAATGTGTAGGTGTATTCATTGAATCTTGACAAGGAAGGCTATTTGGAATTATAGTGAAAAACATTTCAGCAAACTGATTAGTTTGGTTATGATATCTGTAAAGCAGAAAATTAAGTGTTCATTGAAAATGATACGTTTTTTTCAAAAGTACTTCTGGGTTCCTTTTAAGTATTTGTGCAACACTTGTTGCTGTTTTATGCTGTCACTAATCACTTTACTGATTAGTTAAACTTTGTGTGAATGTGAACGTGAAGAAAATGAAGAGACTCGTTAGTGCCAAAAAAGCTGTTAGTTATGGCATGCAGTATCTGACAGCCTGGTTTAGAATGCAGGTAGTTTGTACTGCTCTATCCCACTGTTTCTTTTCTCTTTCTTTGATAACTGTTCTTTTGTTGAGAGAAGAGACTAGTTTATTTTATTTTTTTTTTAGAAACCTGAAGAAAAGGAAGAGGATGTTGAAGCACAAGTTCCTAAAGTTGCAGGCAGCTTTCAGGAAGAAAACGAGGAGATGGAAGAAAAACTAGATCAGCTTTCAGAGGCAGATATAAATGTGAAAGTGATATATTCTAATGAAAAGCATTTGGAATCCAGGGCAGATACTGAACAGGAGCACCATGAATCTGATACTGAGAGAGAACGCTCTATCCAAGAATCCAAGCTGGAAAATAAGCAGGAACTGGATGATGGAGAGGATGAAGAAATAAAGCGTTATGTCTTGGAAAAGATTGAAGAAGCCAACAAAAAGCTGGAAAATCAGGCTCCTGTGGATCAAAACAGAGAACGGAAATTAAAATTTAAGGATGAAGCAGCTCTTCAAGCTTCTCTTCCAGAAGATGCTGAGGTTGGTAAAACCAACCTTGCAAGAGGAGATGATGTTTCAGTTGGGCTGTCTCAGCTGCATATTTCTGGTGACACAGGACAGAAAGGCACATCACTTGCAGAACGTGCTGGCTCAGCTGTGGAAGTGACAGAAAGTAAAGTTCTAGTGGAAAAAGGTGGAAAGTTTGAACTCTTAAGTTTATGTGATATTGAAAGTCAGGGCATTTTGGCCCCAGTAAGTGTTTCTTTTAGAGATACTGGAACTCAACAAATATCTCCAAAATTTCCACTCTCCATTTCTTTCCCCACTGCCTCTCAAATGAAAGAATTGCCTCCATCTGACTCTAAGCAGCATCCAGATTCTGCTTTGAATGGTGCAAAAGGTCTGGGGAAAGAGAAGACTGAGTCTGCAAACACATCTGCAAAGAGTTCCACTTACACTCTTACTCCCAGACAAAAAGAATTAAGGAAGCAGATAGAACTAAGGAATGAAAGACTGAGGAGAGAGGTAAATATATAGAGAAAAGTAAATCACAGTGACCATCCTATTCCTCTGCTTCACAAAGACCATGTGCTCAGGGTATTTACCCCATTCTTTCTTGATAAAAGAGGCAGCAATAATAGTTGTAGTAGTTATAATAGCAACAACAATAACAGTAATTATCTGGGATTTATATAGAATCTCTCAAAGCTCCTTTCTCAGAGTGATATAGGATCATGCCTTGCTCAGAGGGGAAATGAAGTATTTATTTAATATATCCTTCATAAATAGGCCTTCTGTTATATTTTTCTTACTGCTTTTGCTTCTTGACTCTCTCTCTACGTAGGTTCTGTTACAGTCACACAGTTTATGGAATGCAGCACCTGGTGTCACATCTGCACATACTATACTGCAGTGCAGGAAGTTTTACATTAACCACAGTAAGGCTGGGGCACATTTGGGTGTAGATTAGGCAATTATCATATGGCAGAGTGTTCAGTCATAATATAACATTTACAGAGCAGAGTGACTGTAAGAACCTTTCTAATTATTTCTCAGCTCTTTATGCAGAAAAAAATTATATTTAATAGAGAGTCAGCCTCTGAAAGCTATAATGGGGACTTCAGAAATTTTTACCAGAGAGTTAAAAAATGTTGATGTTTTTCTTCTTTTTGAATCATGATGATAGTTACAAAAAAGGTAACTTGCTATGTGTGTTGCTCTATAAAAGGAGCATGAAACATCTGCCATTTTTCTGTGCCATGATGTACTAATTGAACTGGCTAAGTCTCTTCCAAGCTTACTATCTGTCTGTGGAGAGAGCTCTAGCCTGCTTTATTTGAAAAGGTTGCTGAGGCTCAGCTTAGTAAGGATGGTTATGAAATCTGAGGAGCAATTGAAGTGTTTTCCTTGTGCACACAAGACTAGAATCTCTTGAAAGCATGCTCTGTGTATTTAAAGTAAAAGGTAGGGTAGTGAGGGGAAGGAAGGTTATTTTCCTAACAATGTGTGCTAAATTTCTTCTTTTGTTGGCTGACTTATGGAACAGTAAGGACGTGTTAACTTATTTCTTCATTGTGGAATGGAATTCTTCCCATTCCATGATGGATTTCACAGGCATGAAACATTTCTTGACATTACTAGAATCCATCTGCTTCATTTTGGTGGAGTTTTGTTTATTCCAGTAAATTAAAAATAGTAAGTTTGGAGGATATCTGAAAGTTGTGTGTAGGTGGGAGGAGCATCATCTATTTGCCAGAAGATTAGATTTCTTGAAGTATTGAAATAAGTAGAGATTGTAGCTTTTGTGTCAAAGAAAGTAAATCCTGGTAAAAAATGTCCTAGTCAGCTTTCTGAAGCTTTAACTGAAACTTTCTCTCCTCCTTGTAGATACTTATCTTTAGCTAAAATGTAATTAATAAGTAAAATAAACTTTTCTCAATTTTGTAAATTTCGTAAATCAGTTCATTTTGTGCACTTGAAAAAAGACTGAAGCTATTAATAGTCCTTAAGTAAATACATTGCAACTTCATGTACAAAAGAAGTCCTTCTTTGTAAGGTAGTGTCTGCAGTCTGTATGTTGTTAAATATCCTTTAGGGTTTAGTGGTCCATCAAGCTGAGAGCTGCATTTATTTTTAAAATGTGTCCATTTAAAGTGATTCTAAGCTAACCAGAGATATTGGGCAGACTTAATTTTAATAGTTTTTGCTTGATGCTGTTTAAATGTCTGTGAGTCGAGAGGTGTCATGGAAATGGAGGTAATCACAAAAAGGAGTAGAGTGAAAGTGTCTGAATATATCACAAACCACAGAAGTGCTCCAAGCAATTTTTCTTCCTAAATGTTGTATCAGCTATGATGCAATCTTTGAGTATTTCTGTTTCATCTGTATTTTAGTGTGTCTCTCATGCAATTCAAATGGCTTATTTATTGCCTGCAACAGTCTTTGCAGATTAAGATCATTCTCTTAAAAACGAAGTTTATTCACTTTTCTTTCCACTTAAGGAAGAAGAAAGGAAAAGGGAACTAGAAGAACTGAGGAGAAAAGAGAATGAATTAGTTTTTAGAGCTTGGTTACAGAAGAAGAAGGAACAGATGCAACAAGAAAAGCGAATTCATCGTGCAAAGCAGCTGGAAGAGATGAGAATGAAAGTAAGGTCTCCCTAATGTGTAACTGGGATCTATAGTGCTCTTGTTAAATAGGAAAAACAAATTCTAAGCCTGCGTTCTTAGCTAAGCATATGAAAATTTACAGCAATGGGAAGTGTTCTCGTTACATTGTTTTCAGCAAAGAGCTAGACTTGCAGGTTTAGGATTGATGTTGTCAGGAAAATTAATCCACAAACACCAGAGGTTTATATCCAAAAAGGAGACAGAGGAGTCCTTTTTGCTTTATTCGAATAAAGGCAGAGGCCATGGGATATTCCCCTGGGATCTCTCAAATTTTTGGAGGACGCAGCCTCCTTTTTATCCTATTTTCCCGGCCGCATTTCCCTCTCTCTTTCCCCATTGGCTGAGGTACTTGAGAGGCACAGACTTCCCGGAACGCCTGATACCTGAAATTCCCCTCTAATGTATAACCCTCCCTTTAAATTTTTAATTCTTATAGAATTCATAGTTTTCCCCCCCCTTGCTTCTTTCATCTTTTGATATCCAATTTTATTTATCAGCAGCCCTACAGTTTGTTTGTAAAGCCAAATATCTTTTTCCATTCATCAATCAGTGGAATCCATCCCATTGTTACTTTTATCTCTCAGCCTTATCTACAAGCAGATCCACAGCTCATTTGTAAAGACAAATTCAACATTCCTCTCAATCTGCTTGGCAGAGTGGCTTGCAATGTAGAAACAGCATACATGAATTTAACTATAAAATCACATGGGATACAGTGATGCTCCCATACACCAGGACTTGATTGAGCCCGGCAGTGAACAAGCAGCCAGAAGACTCTTTGGAGTGTGTTCCTTGCCATCAGAACTTGTTAGCAAGCAGTTAATGCATATGACCTGATCAAAACCTGGAGATTCAGATGCTATTCTAAAGTTCTTCTGCCTTAAAGTGATGGGCTTGAAAAGCTAAGTTCAGAACTTTTTTAAACATGGTGCTTTGAATGCTTGCTCACGTGTATATTCTATGCCAGATTAGCATATGCTCTAGTGTGTTTATAAAGTATGTTGCACGGAGGGGAGATGCCAGCAGAATACAAAAAACCCTATTATAATGTGATTATGATAAAGGTAATTTAGTGATAACCTTTGTGTATACATGTCTTTTCTATTAACTAGGAGGTGATCAGAGATCCAGAAGAAGCCTACAGGTTATGGCTTAAAAAAAAACACCAACAATATGTGAAAGAAAGACGGATGGAATTTTTGAGACGCCAAGCTGAGGAAGTGCCCTTTTTCCCAAGGAGAGAGGAATGTGACAGAGCTTTTAGAGAGTGAGTAGGGTCATTCCTAAGGGACCACATTTGGAACTTCTGTAGTCTATCATCTTGAAAATGTAGCTATCTTATGGTACATCTTTGCTGCTGAAGTCCTCTCATTGTTTTAGAGGGGGATTTTTTTCATTAATATGCCCTTTTTAAACTTACACCCTAGCAAAAATACATCAGTTCCTTGATGTTGTTTGTTCACTGCTGTGAAGTTGTCAGAACCTGAGCTGAAAAGAGTGAATTGCTTTTGCTAAAAAAGGGATCTTCTGCTCAAGCTGTTGCCTGTTCTGGAGCAACCTTGGGTTGATTCAGTCCATGAAAGGAGCGTAAAGTTAATTCAGTTTAACAAAAAAAGTAGGTAAAGATGGGTGCAGAAGCAGGGAAATTGGGGTGGAAAAGTCGTGCTTCCTGTATTTGGGTGTGGCAGGCTTTTAGACTGTTTCAGCCATGACACCCAACTTCACCCTACAAGACAGGTGGGCCCCAGTTAAGTGGGGGAAAAATATCCTTTGAATGAATTATGTGAAACTTGAAATTACAACTGCCAGTATTCCTGGTCCTTTCTCTCTCCACAGCTGGCTGAGAAGGAAGAGAGAAGAGAAACAAGCAGCAGAACTAGCTGCTAAAGAGAGAGCCAGGCAGCTTAGATTAGAAGCCAGAAGAGCAAGACAGAGGCGGAACATCCACTATACTTAATTGAGAGCCAAAATCCTTTTTTTGGATCCTTCACAGATCATTACAGTTGAAAATTTGAAGTAACCACAGAGTTCTTGGTGATAATCTTCCTTTAATGATTGAGCTTTTGTCCTGTACAGCTACTGACTTTTTGTGGTGTTTTTAAAACTTTTAAGCAAGTTTAACAATTACCTTCAGTGACAATGATTTTACTATCTATTTATTTGTAATTCAGTTGAAAAGCCTGCTTTAATGCATAACTCAGGGATCTTCTTCATTTAACCAAATCTAAATGAGTGCAAGATGTATATATGAGGGTGGCAAATACACATTCCCTTCTTTAAAAGGCACTTTATACTATCATGGATTCCTGGATGCAGGCTACTGTGTAAAATGCTGAATTTTTGGTGGATTAATATTGCTGTTTGATGCTGCTAGTGATTACGACTGTGCAAGGTGTTATGTTATTGGAAAATAATGTTTCATGTACCACTTCCTATTGATTTGTTGATCAGCTCTAGATCAGAGGACTGTGTTCTTTTAGGTTCCTGGAAAGTGCTCATTGAGGACTAATGTGTAGGTGATTGTGCAACAGGTTTTGAAACTTATTTCTGTGAGTTATATTCCTTGTTTTCTATTTATAGTTTTCTATTCCATGGAATTAAAAGCTTGTGCAAAATATGACCTTTTCCAGTGGTAAGGAAGCTGGGTTCCTTATATCAATGTCAATGTTTATTATAATAAATCTACCAAACTGCAACATCTTACCCAGCTAAATTTTGAACTCTTGATAGAGAATATGCCAAATCCTAAAGTTAGTGAAAGAAGAGGAGCATTCTGTCCAACTGCATACCCCAACAGATTTCATGATCTCAGCATTGCTCCTGAATTTTTCCACATTCACACTGTTTTCTGGGAATACTGCAACAGACAGAAGTGTAGTACATGCAAAGCAGATTTGCTGGTAGTATTTTTCTTGGTTATTTTTGGAGCTAGTTACAGGCATATTGAGAACACTGGTGTTGGACTGGAGGCTGCTTTGTTGTAGCTTTTGCCAGCATAGAGAGCAAGCATGGACACAAAATGAAAACTTCTCATGTTAATGGGACATGTAAGTAACAGGTGCCTTCCTCCTTCCAGTACCTTACCCTGACACCAAAGGCAAGAAGAGCTTCCTGTGTCTAGCAAGCAAATCCAGGGGGAATGTTTGCAAAGGTTCACACACACTATCTCCCTAATTGTAGAAAACTACAAAAGAGATGCTTCTCTGTTCATTACCTCACGCCAGCAAAGTGAAAGGCTTTACAGTTCACTGTCATATAGTTCCATTTATGCTACAGAGAAAACAGGGTCAGAAATGTGACTTTATTAAATCCAAAATTGCAACTTGAAAGCAAGCAAAGGAAGTTTATTGTAGCTTTCTTCATGTAAATGAAAGCAGAGCCAGCAACAGCAAGAACTTACAGCTTACATATTCTGATTGTGGGTATGAGACTCAAAGGAAAATCGGGTAAAAGTAACCATTTCAGAAATGTTTTCCCTAAACTGGACAGCTTCATATGGTAAATCTGGGGGTCAAACTAAGAAACTTAAATAGGCTTCTTTGGAGTTAGCAGATTGTCTCCTAAAAGTTCTCTTCAAACCTATGTCAAGAATTTCAAATCTACATCAAGATTATAAAAACAATCAAGTAAAAAAATACTTGTTTTTTTTTAACAGTACCTGTGCAAACTTAGTGCTTATTTTCATCTTCCCATAATACTCAGGAAGACATTGGGCAAGGACTGAGTTGTAATGCCAGGCCAGGATTCAGTGCTCTGTACTAAAGGAAGTATGTCAGTCTGCCTTTGCTGAGGATCAGCTACGCAGCAGCTTCACTCTAGCTGACACAATGGAAAAGCCATTATTTCAGCTCTATGGAAACACAAGAATAATCTCACCCCACAGAGTTTTCCAGAATCCACTTGAAAGCAGTTACTACTTATAGCTAGAGTTCATTCAAGCTTCATCTCCCTCTTGACAGGAGGGGTGACATGGCATATACTCTTGCTTTCAGAACTTACAGCTATGAAGAATCATTGCACATACTCCTTTTTATAACTAAATGTAAAAGGTAGAACGTAGACTTGGGGCCAGTTCATCACCTTGGCTAAAATTTAAAAAAAAATAGCATTTAACTGACCATTTACCATTATTTTTAAATTTAGACATAACTGATTAGCACTTCATTTGCTTTGGTACAGTTACACTTCTGTCTCTCTCTAAAGGGAAATTCATTAAGATTTGCTAATAAGCCTATAAATGTTAAATAGTCAAGAGCATCTCTATGCTCTATAAATTGGACCAGCTTAATGTTTTTTGTCTCGAATAAGAAAGTAACTAGCTTTCCCTATTGAGAAGTAGTAGAAGTATCCCAGAGACTATGGAAGTCCTGTCAATCCCTAACTTCAAGAGGTAGAGAAGCAGAAATTGTGTAATTTCCAATCCCAAACTCACCCATTACAGAAAAAGGACAATGGGAACCCTGCTGAACGTCAACTAGTGTAATTCTTCAGAAAGAGCAGCTGCCTTGGCTGGGCTACTAAAGAGCTATTAGCTCTCCTTGACAGTGATTGCAACAATTGAAGGTGACATCTTCGTATCTTGTATATGGGTGAAATCTTCCAATACTTTTCTTTGTGGAAAGGAAAGAAGATGGAGAAGTCTCAGAAAAAGAAACTTCTGTTGATGTTTCTGGATGTGCAGCTGGATCCAGTACATGTAGCATCTAAGGATGGAAAGAAAAATGGACACTGAAAATATTTTTATGCAGTTTAATGGGCTTTTTCCTTCTCTAAGAGGTAGGAAGGATTTCTACTCAAAAGCCATTTTTCATCTTTTTTCCAAATTGAAAATGAAACATCTGTTTGCCCAGAACCTTTATATAAAGATTAATATATATCAAGAGTTCTTACCATTTCAGCCATATTCTCAGCAGGGGTATTGCAAAACTCCACAGTTGAAGTCTTTTTTGGACTGTTAGTGCCAACATTTCCTAGAAGATGTGAGCTTACAGCTTTGGATAGCTTACAATTCACAGCTGCTAGCTCTGTTGTAGTGTAAGGCTGGGCACTAGGATAGTATGTCTGTTGTCTCCCCCACTGAAGAGAGACCATGAGTTCCTCCAGCAGCCTGTGCAGAAAGGAAAGAAGCACTGTTAGTGGGGCTTGTATTTGATACTCTATAGTCAGCACCCAGCACGCTTCAGTGGAACCATCTCTTCCCACGGCTTATTTCATAAGCTAAATCTTAAACCAAAGAAATGGACAAAAATAGTGTTTAAGAACAAGGAGACAATTGAGCTATTCTCCAAGCAAGGCCTCACAGGACAGGACATTAATACTGGGAAGACTTATTTGACATCTGACAGAATAAGCACTATAAAGTCCACGTAGGTAGAAGAATTATTTGATATTTTGGAAGGAAGCAGGGAAGACTTGAAGTCAAGACAGGAAGTGATTAAAGAGAGAAAGCCTGAGGATGGGTGGGATGTCACTTCTACAGTTTATTACCCTAAAGACCTCAGACCTCTAGGGAATGAAGAAAGTATTCTATTACTTTTGCTCTTTCAGCTCTAAGACTGAAAAGTGACCATACTATACATCAGCATAATTGATTTTTGTTGAGTATCACTGGAAGAGGAGAAAGTTATTTGATTCTCCTCTAGCCTAAAATAAACTGACAAAAAATGAAGTTTATGCAAAGGTAGTCCGGATTAGAAAAATCATACTTGTGTGTATCAATCATCTCTTGACGGAACTGATCGCGTTCATTCAGCAAGTCCTGGATTGCACTTTGTGCATCCCTGGTTTGGCGCTGAAGAATTGCTCTGGTATTGGTCAGCTCATCAGCCATCACCCTGCAGAGGAAATCTCCAGTCAGCAGTGCAAGTGAACAGTTTGAAAGTCACTTTTTTCTACTACAGACCATCATTTGTCTGCTCAACCTGAGTATTAAGTTGCTGTTCTCTGTTCCCTCCCCCATGCAGAGTCTATATTAATGTAATGAAGAATAATTTCTGTTCAACTACAGTCAACACCAGGGCAAGATTACGTTTTGACTGAATTTAAACAATATTAGGTCACTTAATACAGATCTAGTAACAGACATTTCAAAATACCTTGGGAAAGTGTACATGGTTGACAAGGATCCTGTGAAAGAAAAAGCTAAATACCTTTTTCTTTCACTAACAATTCTCACAAGTACGCTGTAATCACATCTGTTCACTCATCTCTAAAAATGGAAGCTACAGCTACCGACTGCATTCATTTACTTCTCTGCCCTTCCCAGGGAAAATCATCAGATGCCAGATATGGGTGTTTAAGAGTTACAAAGGAGACAGCTGTTGTCACATTTTGCTATGCCATGGGGATTGGCACTGACCCCTCCAGCAGGCATTTCAAATGCCTGTGATACTCTAAATACAAAAACCAGAATGACATTTAAACAACGACCAGTTGGAAATAGGAGATAAAAATTAACCAGAATGTTACAATACTGAAGAGTGTTACTTTAAGCACGCTGCTGAAACTCACAGCCCTGATCTTAGAATTCCTCATAACGTTAAAAAAACCCAAGTTTGCATAGTAGCTCTTGCTCAGGTAGGACTTACAAGTACTATTACACCCCATATGTTAGACAAGTTATCATTCACCCCATATGCTATAACTTCTTAAGACCAGAAAATTAAAGGGAGGAGACTGTATTCTATTGCCATTTCCTTCAAGCAGTAAGGTCTGTTGTGATATGCATTAAGCATCATAATTCAGTCAGTTATATCCAAGTATAGTAGAAAATTAAAAATCTTAGAACACTATTTACAGATCTGGTAAGACAACTAAACTTAGCAAGTTTAAAGTCATTGTCAAGTAATATTTTGACTTTCAGACCTGCTTTTATGGTTAAAGAAGTAACAGTAGGGTTCTGAGCAGTAACACAACCAGTGTTTGATAAAGAAATCCCCCTACATTTTCTTCTATAGTAGATTCCTGGCTCTATAAGCAGAGCTCTTAAACACACCAGCTTCTTCTCAAATTGATGACTGTATCATACTGGGGGTTTGGGGATGAAAATAACTAATTGCCTTTAAGAAAAGTCAGCTGCCCTAGAAGACTTTTTTATACCCTAAACTGCATGTGGCTTTACCAAAATTAAGAGCCTCTCTTGCTTTCTTGACAAGAACTGTATGAGATTTTAGGAGGTTTAGGACTCACTGTATTACCTCTGAAAAAGCAGGACTATTCTGATTTACAAGGAGCTTACTTTTTTTATACCTTTTCTGTACTCTCAGATTTCATAATAGGTATCAGTATGTCTATTGTGGATGTCCTCTGCATATGGAAGCACACTGCAATGAGTGTATGTGATGAAAGACTGAGGGAGAATTCTGTTAGGACAGCTCCAAGAGAGGGAATACCTGCTTGCTAAGAATTTGCTTCTCCACACATCACATTGTATAGACATGCGTTCCAGTTGTTCAGACAACTGAGCCATATTTCGGCCCAGGACTTCGTTTTCTAGGATGAGCTGATTCTTCTCACGAGCCATCCGTTCAAAGTGATATTGCAGGTCATCCCCAACAGAAGCAACAAGTAATTTCTTCAACTCCCGATTGACCTGGAATTAGACCAGACTCTCTT